CCTTAGCTAGATTAGTAAAAGCATTTGGCGTGCTCTGAGTAATACTCTGAAGATCTATAATTTGTCGCACCTCAGTTTCATACTGAGCAGTGGGGGGATCTAAATGAGACATAATTGGAGCATACCACGACAATTCGTGGTGTTCTCCAGTAACGTTAGCATGCTTATATCCCCTTAATGATGGGAAGACTGTCTCATCAAAGTGACAATCCGCAAAACTTGCAGTAAAGAGATCTCCTGTCAAAGGTTCTAAATAACGAACAATTGATGGCGAATGATAACCGGCATAGATTCTCATTTTTATTTAAGAACCCATTTTGGTACATAGTGGGGGCGCTATTGGCACATAAAATGCGCACCCAAACACACGTAAATGCAAGATGTCAGGCTCGTATCTAGTAGCCAACTGTAATGGTGAATAAGGTTGGGTAGCAGTGGGCCTCAGGCGAACCAACATAGCTGCGTGCAATAATGCATAGCCTTAGGCAGATACCGGCAGTTTGGTTCTCATAACCAAAGTCTGAGCTATCAATTGAAGGTGCTTTATGAAAGTTTCTGCTAGGCCATTTTGGGTGTGAACATGGGGTACATGATGTTCCACATCAATCCCTACTGACATGCAATAATCGTCAAAAGTCTATGACGTAAACTCTCCAGCGTTATCCAGTCAAATCATCTTAATCGAATAATCAGGATGGTGAACCCTTAGCTTAATAATTTATGCTAGGAGTTTCACAAATGCAGCATTGCATGTTGGCAACAGGAAAACATATGATCATCATGTCGATGCATCAACCAACACCATAAAGTATCTAAATGGTCCGCATGTTTGTTGGATAGGTCCACAAATATCCCTTTGAATCCTTTGAAGAAACTTAGGGGGGTTATGAATAATCTTTGTAATCGAAGGTTGAGTATTTAACTTCCTTAAAGAAAACGATTTGCATGGCGGGAATCCAACATAGGGAAGTAAACGATGCAATGTGATGTTTTGAGGATACGGCGCATCATGTCACGTCTGGGATGTCCTATACGATCATGCCAAAGCAACAAAGTGCAATAGAACTCAGGCACAGGGCAGGCCACATGGTGGCCTTCTATGCTATGAATGGTTGTGATGTATAACTCGCTCGGGGAGACGTTCCAACTTCTCGTGAATACGCTTCTGGCCATATTTGTACGAAGTGATACAAAGAAATTCAGAACCATTATCTTCAGTGGTTTCAACATGATATTGATTATCTCGAATATCTCTAACACTCAGCAACATTCTTCTGGAACGTGGAGAATAGAAGGCCTCTTTAATGGTTAAGATTGTACCATTGGACAATATGATACGGGCCTTTCTGTATCCTTCAATCAGGTTGGATGGGTCTGAAAAAGTTGTCAGATGTGCTTTCTTGGGTATAAAGCTAGTAAAATAGTGTTACTCATGCAATATGGCGTGCGTGGTAGCACTATCAGCCAGATAACTAACTTACCCACTAGACATACCTAGAAATAAATTGATTGAATTGGTCACATACATAAATATAATTACATTCATTCAATTAAGCAATTCGAGAAATAATATCCATAAAATAACAATCCATAATTCAAAACAAACCAAAACCAAACAAATTATTCCAAAGACTTAGAAAAATTGTTCAAAATTAAACCATAAACCTAGAAAATAGGGGGGGTTCGGCCACTAGGGGTAAAACACCTTAAAATATGTCTGAAATTCATTCTTCCATAAGAGCTGATATCTCTTGCAAATTTGATATCTCCATGGATGTAGTAGCATCTTCCGGATGATCCACATTTGCAAAGTTAGACTCACGACAGGAATGATACTTGGCAATAGCCTTGGGGTTAGCTCTGCATACACGTGACCAATGATCCTTTGATCCATAGCGGTAGCACATGTCCATTTCAGTGGAAACCGGTTGAACGGTAGCTTTTCCCTTGTTCTTGAAGTTTAGGGCCTTACAGGCAAGTGGTTGGCGCTACTGGGTCACATTTCCTCCCTTGGGTGGGCCTTGATTCTGTTGACCTTGGGCCCATTGTGGGGTTGCCGCCCATTGCCACGGCCACAGCAGTTCTTGCGTCGTATATGGCTGCTAGAATTGGTCGCGTGTGCTTCAGGCGCAGCGTTCGAGCCAGTCGGTCGAGCTTGATGATTCTTCATTAAAAGTTGGTTCTACTTTTCAGCGAGAAGTAAAACAGAGATCAAATCCGAAAATTTGGTGAACTTCTGTGCCCTATATTGTTGTTGCAAGACAGTATTGGTGGCATGGAAGGTCGAATAAGTATTCACCAGGATATCTAATTCGGTGAGTTCCATTTTACAGAACTTCAGTAGTGATCGGATTCTACAAACTTCAGAGTTGTATTCATTCACGAACTTAAAGTCTTGGAAGCAAAGATGCTGCCAGTTGTGTCTTGCTTTAGGCAAGTAGATGTTTTTTTGGTGATCGAAACGGTCGGCTAGAGCAAGCCAAAGGGTGCGTGGGTGCTCCTCAGTGAGATACTCAATCTGCAGTGCATTATGGATGTGTCTTCGAATAAAGATCACTGAAGTAGCTTTCTGAGCTTCGTCGATAGGTTTGTCGTCGGTAGGTGCCTCGATGGTGGCTTTAATACCTTTTGCAGTAAGATGGAGCTTCACGTCTGGAACCCATTTCAGGTAGTTTCTTCTAGATGCTTCCAGAGTGATGAAATCGAGCTTGTTCAAGTTCAACATGTCCCTAAAACAGAGGTTACAACAAAAACATGGTTAGTCATATGGTAATCCATAGACATATATCGTAGAACATTCGGGTTCTATAGACATGTATTGGTTTAATTTATGCATGAAAGCTACAGGTTTCATGTGGGAAGTTTTGAGTAAAAACTTCGGGTTTCAAAGGCACTAAATATGAAACTACAGGTTCAATTTAGTTTTATGAACGATTAGTTCATAAAGGAGAGGTTCCTGCAAGAACACATAATGCAATATGCTAATTTAAGTGTAGTGGATTTGAGTTTCTTCAGAAACTCAAGTGTGAGAGCTTCGGGACTACGAAAGGATGTCAACGGTTCAAAATATAAAAATAAATTATTGAATCGCTAATGTCCAAAAGTGATCTTCAGGTCAATAATTTTGGATTAATTATCAGATTAATGGACTGCAGATTACTTTTGATTAATTCAATAGATCGGGACCAAACGAGGTCGATCGTGAAAGCAAAATAATGTGGGAGAAGAGCCCTACAGGTTCAACTGCATACTAATTGGGCTTCGACGAGGGTTGCTAGCATTGGGTCGAAACAAGTGCAGGCCCAGCGAAAGCTGGCCATTGGGTTGGTCTGGGGAAGCCCAGCCGAAGCTGGGTTTTGGGTTTTTAGGTCTGGGGCAAATGAAGCCCAGTAGCATAAGGCTGCTAACGAGTGGGCTGAGATTTGGGCAAAGCCCAGTAAGCTAAGGGCTGCTGCGAGCGAGCCGGATCATGGGCAAAAAAGGAAGCCTAGCAGCTTTGGGCTACTGGAGTTGGGCCTAGGGACTCGAGACAACAGGCCAAAAAGGCTGTAGGCTTTCTTGGTTGGGCTAAGAGACTTCAGGCCCTATAAAGCTAATTAGGCTGAAGGCCTACGGTTCGGGTCAGCGCAACAAAGCCTAAAGGGCTGCTGCCGTGAGGTATAAGGCGTCAAACGACATCGTGCCATGACATGTTCCACGCAGCTGAGCTTCAGGCCAACGGCTGTGGTTTGGTGAAGCCACGGTGATGGTGCAGTGATTGCGCCGCACAGTTCCCAAAAAAAATTCTTTTTCTTTTTCACATCCCTAGGGTTTGAAAAATCCTAATTGCTTCTAATTTATTTATATGCTTTGACTCACAAATTTCACATAGCAATATAATTGTGTAATGCATGAAACATATATATATATATATATATATATATATATATATTGACAAATATATGAAACATATACAATATATATATATATAGAAGGAAAATATAAACATAGAGGGGTTCATGCATCATGGGGAATGTTTTCATGATTCGTGGATGTTTCAAATATCTTCCTTTGTACCTAATTGGTAGAAAACAAATAAGAGCCTTTGAATTTTGTAGAAGATAGCCTCCTACAATCCGTCAGTTTCTTAACTTCTGGTAAGAGCGTGTTGATAACGTGTTGTAGACCTATTTAACTAAGATATTCTAAGGGAATAGAGAGAAGGAGGCTAGCGGTAGTGAGAAAGAGAATAGAGAGATTTAATTATGAGGTGTGTGTTGTATCACCCCCATTGTGCCTTTATTTATAGTAGTAGAATAGGTAAAATCCTTAACCCTTTTAGAATTACAACTCTAATCGGAATTAGACTACTAAGGGGAATATGAAAGATATCCCTAGATACACTAGAATTTACACAAACACATTCCTATTCTAAATATGACTGCAACACATTAAAGTTTTTTCCATTGTTCTTTTTTTCCTCTTTCATTTAGTTGTGTGTTCTTTTTTCATTTTGGCTATCATTAAATAGGTTTAAATTCATAAGGTCTGTCACTTGGTACTACGGTCTAATGGTACTCCTCTTTAGAAGTTTTATGGTCGATTCTCGCTAGAGACGAATTTAAACCACATTAGTGCTAGCCTATTGTGAGGACTAAGCTACCCTTCTGACTCAAATACACCTCTATTCGATATATTATTTTGGTTTATAAACGTTTGATGCACTTGTTTGCATGCTAATAGTTTTTCAACGTTTCCTATAGATACGTGACAAGAATTGATTGGCCAGTTACGCACTTACGCTACTCAAACTATAATTGGATGCAAGAGAAATCTCTCCTGCGGTATAGGCAGTGGGAAGCATTCCATGTTTGTCGGAACCCCATCTCTATAATATTTATTTACAGCAAACAAGAAATTGACCCGTCGATTGGCAATCCAGCGCAAACAGAATAGGCATTGCAAATCGTATTAGGGCAAAACATTTAAATCAAGATCAAGGCAGATTAAGAATTAAATTCTGAAAGGGGGAACATAATATTACAAACGAAAGAAAAACAGCGGGCGCAGGTGCTCCTACATCCTACTGTTTATTGTCACGTAATCATATTTTACAAAAATGGCATCAACAAGAATCACTTGCAGAGTGACCTATTTGTATAAATATCATATACACTTAATTTTGGTGAACGGGCAAGAGGAATTACAAGAGTTTGAACGCAACCGCACAAAAGGAGAACAAGAGGAGCAAATTGCATCCAGAATCTCGTTGATGATGAATACGATGTCTGAACAAAGGCAATGTGGACAACAGATGTGCATGCCAGCTTCTAATTGTAGTCTTTCTGAAGAAAGAATGAACGAATGAATTGGCTAATGTACCTTCACAGATTCTGATTCCCTTCCACTGTTTGCATTACATATCTGATACAACAGCGATGTAAACGCAAATTCAGACTTGCCATCTGCACAAAGCCTTTTTACTCAGAGCTGGAATCGTAGAAGTCACTAGGGCATGGTGTCATGACCTCAGATTCAAGCAGCTGGACCACCCTGTGCATAGAGGGTCGATCTTCTGAAGTTGAAGAAACACATTGAATGGCGACAGAAAGCAGGGCATCGAGGCTTTCAGCTTGCACCCCTTCACACTGTGGATCAACAATTTCCCTTTGCCTATTTTCTGTGACCAGAAAATTTAACTGCAGAGGGAATTGCAGATAAATTAGAAGACCTAACTTGAAGAAACGATACCCATTCCAAAAATGATATCATTAAGGAACTTTACATAATATTTACTTGACTGGAACAATCAATCAAAACCAAAATATTTTCTTTATCATTCTTTCACCTATTATATTCAACACGTGCAATTGATTTCCAACAGTTGACATGGATATGCAGTTCACAATTCACTATGCTTATACTATTCCCAACTAAATTTTATAAACGCTAAAACAAACATGGCCATACTGCAGTCAATTTTAGAGGACATGATTTACACTTGCTGATTTAGCTTCATGTCAAAAAGCAATATTATTTTTGACAAAAACCACACATAGAGAGACATACCCAGCCAACAATGTTGAGGCCCTTCTCGATAAATGATGCATCTGTGGGTCGTTTTCCACTTAATACTTCAAGCACAAGGACCCCAAAACTATAAACATCAGTCTTTTCAGTTGCTCTGCCACTTTGCATATACTCTGCCAATGAGGTCATATCACTCAGGTTGTATATAAATTTAACAAAAACTGTATCGTACTACTTCAGAAATAACTGCCAGCACACACAAAGTTTTCCTCCCTTTGTGTAACAAAAACACATTTCATCAGGAAGCTGATTTGTAAGCATGTACATTACCAGACACCTATAACTGGAGCAGTTGTAAGTGCATGTAAATGCATTCAATCGTGTTTAGTTTTTACTTGGGAGTTCTATTGTGTTGTTTGTTATTCTGCCACTGTACAGGCTATTTTAGGCTGCTATGCTGCTCCATTTGGTTGTTTAGTTTAGTACACTTTTGTATCACTTACTACTCCAAATTTAATTATGCACAGAAACTGTTATGGAAGAGCGTGAAAATCTGCTATAGGTGAAAATCGTAATAATTTATTTCCACCTACCATGGATCTAGTCATTATAATAGGAAGTGATTTCCACACCTTTTTTGTCCCCCTACACACCCCTGCTTATTTCAAAGGGGAATCAATGGAAAGAACTAAACAGGGGTGTGCAGAATCATTCCCATAATTTATAGAACAATATCCACGTTCAGAGAGTTGAGAGCTCAGCATAACAAAACAGAAACTACAATAACATTTTCTTACCGGGAGCCAGATAACCAAATGTTCCCGCAACAATTGTTGTAATGTGCGATTCTTCGTCCTCCAACAGTTTGGCAAGTCCAAAGTCAGATACGCGTGCCTCAAGACTTCCATCAAGTAAAATGTTGCTTGACTTTATGTCTCGATGTATGATCCTAGGTGAGCAATCATGATGCAAGTAAGCCAGGCCTTTTGCTGCTCCCAAAATAATATTCAATCGTGCATCCCAATCAAGCTGCTCAGATCTTTCTGTTCAATGGTTTATGAAATATTATTGTTCCAATGGTTTATTTCCTTGTAACAAATATGTATAATGTGCAGTAAAATATTTTAAAAACTTTCATCAAGAAAAGTACATATGTATACCAAATACTGAGCCTGATCAATAATGCCACGTGTTCCTTTGATGGAGATCATGATGTGCATCTAAACACTTATGTGCAACATCACATGGTGAGTTTAGGTTATTAGACACATTTATGGTTAACTTTATTCAAGTATTTTTATTTGGATTCGTATAAACTCGAAGGCACCACTGTCCTTTTGTTGGACAGTTTTAAGTATTGAATTTCTTGCAGACAGTAAGTTTCCTTATATGGTTTCTTTTTTAATTTACTCTCTGTAACCTTCTCTTTCCGGGTCCTACACTCATTACCCCCCTAACTTCATGTATAGATAATAACTTTATCATTCATCTAAACCAGATGCACATGCAACATGTTAAAGCAATGAAAATAAACACAAGAGAAGACATCTAACCGTGAAGCGCTTCATCAAGGCTTCCACCAGATAAGAAATCATAGATTAGCAACTTTGATGTGGGAGAATTGCAATAGCCCCTCAAATTCACTAGGTACCGGTGTTTTATACTTCCAAGAATTTCTAGCTCCCTCTCGAAAAAACGATCAAACCCCTCATTCATCTTTACAATTCTTTTTAATGCAAATACTTTGCCGTCATCCATTGCAAGCTTGTACACTGTTCCAAAGCCACCAACACCAATTATGTGTTCATCATTCAAAGTCTCTAACTTCTTAATTATGTCTTTAGAAGAATATGGCAAATCTCCATGAAACATTACAATTGATGCACCTGGAGCAACAAGACTGTTGGTCAGATTTCAAAAACTAGGAACTCAAGATTTGTTGACGTAAATCAAATATAAGCCAGAAAGTAACCAGTACCTCCAGTAACATCCATTGCAAGACCTTTACTGTCATGTTTACCGAACTTTTTATAAAGAAAGCAACCCCAGAAACACATGAGAGCCACCAAAAGAAGTGCACCCACAGTTGCTGATGCACTGATAAGTAGCCTACCAGAGTATTTCTTCTTTCCACCTTGATTTTGCTCTACAAAAGTTTCAATACTAAGTATGAGTACCATAATGTTGTCAGCACTTGAGATTCACCAGAGGGAAATTTTAACATTCTCCAAGGACTTCACCAACATGAGAAGTCATAGTGAAACCAAAATAATTTGAAGGCTTTCACGTTCTAAAGAGTCTCTAGATAATCACAAACATTGCACCCATCTATTTCACATCCAAGGAGGTTTACCTGAGCTTGGAGATTGGGAATTTGGTGATTCCCCAGGGGCATCTTTGCATACCAGATTGATTTGTTTCCCACACAAACCACGATTTCCATCAAAGCTGCACGGAAATGTGTCAATGGCTCTAAAGAGCATGAAAATCATTGGGGACTACATTGTCATAGTTTAATATGGGTATAACAGGTCAGTTAGTAACTGGGGCACAATAGAGATCTTAAGCTAAGTCCCACCATCTAGAATGTAGAGAGGCAATGACATGAGAATAA